GCTGTATCCATAGTAACTTGTTTGTTTCTGTTAGAAAAATCACCTTGGCGACCCCAACTCTGAGTTATACAAAAACAGCTGTGAGAACCCCACAAGGAGTTCTTTCTGAAGATCACTCCCCAACCTGTACCTGCCTTCCTTTTAATAAATTCCTCGTATAACTTCAGACTTTTGTCTGAGTGTCTTTCTTGTTGAAGACCCAAGCCTGGTGGGCTTGGGGGGCGTTCGACAGCGAAGAAGGCAGGACAAGGAAAGATCTGGTGGTTCAGATGTCAGCTTCATCCTATGTGAACTCCATGCTGGATAGGAGCAAGGAGAGAACCGATAGCCACAGGCCTTCTGGGAAAAGGGAGGGAGGTCTTCTGTCTACTGCTATCAGTGAAGGTACTGGTCCAAGTCATGGCAGAGCCTGTGGAGGCTCCTCTCACTGAAAAGGAAACCCCCCACTACCATTCACCATATGCAAACACAGGGGAGCAAGCAGACAAGAGAGACTGAGGGTGGGTTGGCCCAATCCTTGAATTTGTTGACATGTCCCAGAAGTACTGTGCAGGGAGAAGGGAGGGTAGTATCTGAAGCATCTGCTCCCAGGCTCTAGCTCCGGGCTTAGGTGGCTACACTCATCTCTTTCTCCAACTTGGGCTACCTTTGGTAGGCAGTAGACAGGCCCAGCAGGAGACACTGCACCAAATGCTATAAAACTTCTCCTGGGCTTTCGGAGTGTGAGTTGACATGGGGCTTCTAGGCTGTGCTAAACACTCCCAGACTAGGCCCTGCTGGTTCAAGACCCACCACTGTTCAGTGGCTTTTCTTTTGGGGGCTCTCCAAGTTGGTTCTTTTCATTTGTGAGAAGGACAAGGGCTGGTGTGAGGATCAAATGAAGTAACAAATGTTAGACTGACAGTCAAACTGATCTAGAGGGCAACACAAATGCCTGAATCCAAATGCCTGGTTGGTAAGCTGTAGAAAGATGGCTTTTCTGCAAGAGCTGGATCCCTTCAGCAGCTGTCTAGTCATGGTACATACGAAAAATGCAGAAACAAGTTATTTTTCACCACCTCCTGAAACAAAATAAATTAACAAGGAGTTGCAGAGCGGTCATACCACAGACCAGGTACTGCTCAAATGACTTCGTGCTCAATGTATTCTCTCTCAATCCATGCGACTCTATCTCTACTGGGCAAATTGAGAAGTTAAGATAGGTGTCCGAGACCACAAAGCTGACTAGGACAGAGCTAGTTTGTGGTCAAGTGCACCCCGACGCTAAGCTGCCAAAATGAGCTACAGAATCCTCAAGGAGATGTAAAATGCAGTTTTCATCAGTGTTCAAAGTTAGCATCTCCTCATGCTGCAAGTGCAGGACCATTTCAGAAAGGCATGCTGCACAGAGCAGGACCTGGGCAGTGTGCCCAGGCAGCCTCACCATGGAAAGACTTGTCAGCATCACACAGGTGCACGCTGCAGAGTAGTCTCCAGGTCAAGCCTTGTCCATGATGTTCCTGGTCTGGGGCTATCAATTGCATGGTGCCTACTGCTCTGGTTATGATTCTGTGAAATCTGTTAAAAATATATTCACTGGGCCAGGTGTGGTGGTGCATGCCTTTAATCCCAGCACTCGGGAGACAGAGGCAGGTGGATTTCTGTGAGTTCAAGGCCAGCCTGGTCTACATAGTGAGTTCCAGGACAGCTGGGGCTACAGGGAGACCCTGTCTCAAAGATAAATATATATTCAGTAACAAAGGTCTTCATGGCACATTAAAATTGAGCTCAGAAGCCTTTTCTGGAAAACACACACACACACCTACCTACCTACAGGTAATTCCACTTGCCTTGCACTCCAGTCTCACTCAGGACCACCACAGTGGAGCTCTGTGCATAGGTCTGTTGTGCAGCTTTAACTGGGTGCCATGAGAGGTCACCATAGCAGCAAGATGGCAGCCTTGTTGTTTTCTCCTCTATAGTATAACTGGTGAGTTAATGTGGATCCTCTACCAGTTTGGCTTCACCTCTTGCTCAAATGCTGTGATTTCACTGTGGGCTGTCACCCTCCTTCTGTAGGCAGTAATCCTTCCAGGACATCATTTCAGATCCAATTTCCTGATGTAGCCGAGAACAATGCTATCGTGACTTTTGACTACTTCATCAAAGACAACATTCTTACCAGAGCTTTGATAAGCAAGAAAATGACTTGGAAAGGACTCAATAGAGATGGGGGTAGATACTAAGGTACATGTATCAGACATGATGAGACAAGTTCTCTGAGCAGAAGCAGTTCCCTGCCAAATTATCCTCCTATGGAATACCAATCAGCCTTGCTTTATTCCAGAGAAGCTAGGACTGCTTATAGAAACAACAAGGCGAGGGGGAGGACTATACAAAGAACTATAGGATTCCTTGTATAAGGAACCTAGGGTGCCGGGGATTCGAACCGGCAACCCTGGCGCAGTGATGATTGGGGATGAGTAAGCACACTGTTCGCCAGCCCACGTTGCCCCCAGTACGGGGGACACTCAGATGCAACAGGGAGTCTGGTCAAGCAGGGACTCATTTATTGCAGGTGTTACAAGAGCTTATAAAGGCACCTGGAAATCCCCCCTCCCCCACTGAGTGTGTAGCTTAAGGATGGTCACGTGCTGATCATGCGCTCCTCAGCACTGCGGAAGTATTCTTCAGACTTTCAAAGCAAGCCGGGCGCGCCCCCAGTAACTTCCTTTCGGACCTATGCAAGGTGGGGCCTTTAGGTCCCCACACTAGGGGATAAAGGAAAAGAAGGAACTCAAGGGAGGTGGGACCATAGGAGAAGGGTATTATTAAGAGAGAAATGGGAAAAATGGGGCCATTTTAAATGGGGAAACCACGGTGGAAGGGTTAGACAATGTGAGATAATGCCTAGCTAGTTTTAAAAAACCATAGGGGGGGGGGCGCTGGAGAGATGGCTCAATGGTTAAGAGCACTGATTGCTCTTGCAGAGGACCCGGGTTCAATTCCCAGCACACACACACGGCGGCTATGAACCATCCTTAACTCCAGTTCCAGGGGAATCTGAAGCCCTCTTATGACGTCCATGGCACTGCATGACACGGGTGCACTCATATACATGCAGTGCCAATAATTTTTCAGGCTATGACTTGAATACAGGTGCTGACCCATGAATGTATGGACTTGTCAGTTTCCAGTTTACAAAATACAGTATATGAAATAAAAAAGTACAGAAACATAAAGCATTTTTTATTATTGCTATAATCAAGGCAAAAATCTCTTGAAACAATTAGCCTTGATATTGGAAGATTAAGCAGAACATGACTTTACAGTTTATTCTCTGTTGCCAAGATTTCACTGTTTCACACACACCACCTACAAGACCTTTGTTATACAAGATGAGCAAGGCAGCTTCACAACTTGTCCTGACTATACACCAATCTCACCCTCTCTGTTTCATTACAGTGTGGTTTGTGTTTTTTGAGACAGGACTGGAACTTGCTATGTAGACCAGGTTCGCTTCAAACTCAGAGACATCTACCAGTGCCTCCTGAGTGCTGGAATTAAAGGCATCTGACTTTATACTATGTTTTACAAGTGGGAGAAGAGGAAGCTGACTAAATCTACCCACTTGGAGGGTGAACTGAGATAACACAGGAGGTAACTGAGTTAACATGAGCAAATCTGCAGTGAAAACCCTAAAATGTTCTATAAAAACCCTAAAATGTTCAATAAAATATAGTATCACTAATAGGAGGTGGGGATGGATTAACACTGAACAGTCAAAGCTTATGGGAGCCTGCATGACAGTCACAAAGAGTTTTAAATTCTGGGGCAGGACAAAGGATACTAATGACCAAGTTTCCAACCCACTCACTAAGGAAGTATCTGGCTTGACATGCCACTTCATATGGACCCAACTAACCTAGAAACACTTGTCAGTTTTATTTTACCTTATTATACATTTGTACAAGTAATTTTAAAAAGGCTATTACACAATGATTCAGTGAGATTTATCCTAGTTTGAAGAATAATGCATGCAGTTACAAATGAGAGGTAGAAACACTGTATTAAAGACCTAAAAATACAAACACCATATAAATAAATGTTCAAATTAACTGCTGGAATTTATAGAGATAAGGTAAAAATCATGTAACTCTTGTCTATGTAAAGGACAACCATGTTGTCTCTGATAGTTTTAATCAGCACACTAAAATCCATACGGCATCAAAGAGCTTCCGTGCAGCTGTTAGAGTGCAGGTTGTTATGTGAAAGGTTAAAATAGGAGGGTTAAGCCAGGCGTGGTGGCACACACTTTTAATCCCAGCACCCTGGAGGCAGAGGCAGGTGGATCTCTGTGAGGTCAAAGCCAGCCTGGCCACCATAGTGAATCCACGACAGCGGGGGCTACAGGGAGACCCTGTCTCAAAAAAAAAAAAAAAAAAAAAAAAATAGACATCAGGCTGGAGAGAGCTGCCCATTTTTCTAAGAGAAAACAAGTCTCATTTCTCACTAATTTCATATAGGAAACTCTCTATCACTAACAAGCCTTTAACTGTCACTTTGTTTTAGCCCTATTAAAATTCTCAAGGTATCTCTTGATTCATGATAGCACTTCAAATACCGCCCAAATAAACTCGGCTTTTAATAAACCCAAGGTCACAGGCATTGATGCACATTCTTCATGCACAACAAAAGATGCAAACAACCAGCAACTCAAAATACAACTGGGAAGATCTGTTGGTGAAGAATACAGGTAAACAGAATGCAAAGGTTCACATGAATGCAAGTTTAGACTATTAAAAGTTCAATGGAGAGTACATGTGAATTATGAAAAGAATATATTATGTAATCAAGTAGAATATCTTAAACAAGTCCATTGTGCCTCAGTTTTAAATTGCAAAATCCAATACATAGTTATTTTAATAAATTAGTGCAATATGAAAGATTTTGGAAGATTATCATGTGTCCATATTAGATCAAATTGAAGATTTCAAAATTCTTCCAAGATCCACCTTTTGCTTCTTCTTCAAATTATTCCTCTTGAGCTGTTTAATGATGCATACTCAGATTCAGACAAACTCACCCCAAATCTCAAATTGTCTGGATGAGCTGTAGACTCCTATATGTGCCTTAGCCAACACATGGGATTTCATATATTCCTCAGAGAGCTGAGAGACGTGCCACTCACTTTGTTTTATGTTTAATTATCCACAAGAACAAGTGTACTTATAATTCTAGTTCTAAGGTACATTTATTTGTCAAGTTCAAACTGTAGCCATGTGGAATACCCTTGTTTCTGCTTCTACAAAGAAAAAGGGAAAGGGGAGTGAATTCTCCAATAAGGCAGATTTTCTACAAACATGAAGTTTTTGGATTGTTTTTCATTCTTAAATTGCTGCTTGTTCTTTGGTAGTCACCAGTTAACAAAGTACAGCTTCCTGGGATGGGTGACAGAACCAGGCTATAATCCCAAATGTTATCACCTCATGCTCCCATGCTGGTCCATGACAAGCTTGCTGCTCACACGGTTGCAGTGCTATAGCAGAGTGCTGACAATCTTCTTTCAATACTACATTTATCTAGAAATAAAAATTTTAAATTAAAACTCATAATAAAAACCATTTATATTTTCTTTTTTCTTTTTTAGGTCCGGGTCTGGCCATGCCAGGCCCCAGTGCCCCATTTATATTTTCTAACACAGGGTGAAAAAAATTCACAAACGATCAGCATCACTGTCTCTGTTCTATATTTGCTCCAAAGTTAACAGAAACGAGTACATTTTCTTTCCTCTACCTGGTAATATAGCTCAGATATGATTTGTAGTTCAATGCTACACAATGATAAATTCAGATTAGCACATTACAGAGAAAACATGTAGAACTAACAGCTAGAATGCTTACAAGTATAAGCAATGTGAGGATTGCTAATATGGTATGGCCATATACCACAAGATCTAGCACCTACTCAAAGCCAGATACTAGGTTTACATATATAAGCAGTAATATCATCTGAGTATCTTGTCAGTCTACAGTCTTTAGGTACACCCAATCTGCAGCATGTAGAATCTATGTAAGGTTTTTCTGTCATTTTGCCCGGAGGGCTTAAAACACGGTTAAAACTCATGTCCTTCTATATCCATAAAGAAGCATTTGCCAACAATCTAATGCAATGACAAAGTCTAAAGATAAATAATAAAAACTACCCATGCTTTACATGCATCTCTCTAATCCATACAGGATGCAAGGTCAGCACCGTTATCTATTTTACAGCAGATGAGACTGAGATCACAGAAAGGTTAATGATTTGCTAAAGCCAAGATTCATCTAAGGCAGTATTCCAAACTCTTAAGCTCTTTCTACTATACTTGTCTTAAACAATTAAGTTGCAATCAATTAAATACAGTGCTTCTTCCTTATCCCGTGATATGTTCTGGGGCCTGAAGCTTCAAATAGGACCAAACTCTATCTACAATTCCAGTAGTATCAAAGCAGCACACCTTATAACAAACACTGCTACTAAGTGACTGATAAGTGGTTGGCACATACAGCAAGGACATAATGGATAGGAGGATGAGTCATGTCCCCCAGGTGGGATATAGCAGGACAGTTCAAGATTTCATCATGATCCCCAGAACAATGCAAAATGGTGATAGGGAAGAAAAGGGACAAGAGAAACAACAAAGACAAATTTTGTTTGGCAAAAGATGTCATAAAAATATTCCATTCTTTGTAAGGTAATAATAAATTAAAAATAAAAAATAGAAATGTAAAACTATGGGTTATTTCTAGAGTTTTCTATTTAATATTTTTGGATCTTGATTGATGTTAATCAAAACTGTGGAAAGGGAAGGCTACTGTACTAGTCAGCTTACATTTATGTACATTTTCAATATCTGTAGGGTCCTGTAGAATCTTAGTTAGGCCTTCCAAAAGAAGGGCTGCCTTATGGTATCGATAAACAATGTCTTCAGTGTGCTGAAACATCTCATCCAGAGCTGCAGACTGAACCTGGAACCAGTCAACAAAATAGGAAGATTTGTAGCTTAAAGGCAATACAAAGCCATACAGACAATGTAGCTTTAAATAGCATAAACTAAAATCAATAGTTCAGATAAAAGAATTTGTTAAAGGGAAGAAAAGACTTAATTCCTAGCATAAGATTCTTATGAAGTCTTAATATAGTATAGAGTGATATAATGCCGATAATTCCTAGTTTAGAACAACATTAACATATCGTCAACTTACATTCCCAAATTATTTTCATAAAACTACTTATTTTAGGGCAGGGCGTGGTAGCACATGCCTTTAATCCCAGCACTGGGGAAGGGGTGGCAGAGTACCAGGAGGATCTCTGTGAGTTCAAGGCCAGCCTGGTCTCCATAGCGAATCCAGGCCAGCTAGGGCTACAGGGACACCCTGTCTCAAAAAGACCAAAAAAGCCAGGCATGGTGGTGCATGCCTTTAATCCCAGCACTCAGGAGGCAGAAGCAGGCAGATCTCTGTGAGTTCGAGGCCAGCCTGGTCTACATAGTGAGTTCCAGGACAGCTGGGGCTACAAGGGAGACCCCGTCTCAAAAAGACCGCCCCCCCCTCAAAAAAAAAGTAAGACCAAAGGTGTAACAGTACTACTGCAATTTAGGGAGAGATATATTAATGTGGTAAAATAACATTAGTCAATAAATAAATTTTCTCTATCTAGATATTAATAGGTCCTATTTTTGCATATTCTTCAAGCTATTTTCTCCCAGTAGGCACAGACAACAAAATTTCAATATACTAGCCAGACAATTGGAAAAGAAGCTTTTCCTTAGTGTCTATATTTCAATAAAGTCAGTAAGTAGAACTCAAGCACATGAATTTTTGTGAATTACAAAGCACTATTTTTCTAAGTTTTATCAAGTCAAAATTTCGTATATAGCAGAAAAAGGCAGAAACATATTCACCCAACTTTTAGATATAAACTATAAAAGATGAGATCATGAAATTAAGCTAAGTTTAAAAGGAGAGATAATAAAATATATCAAATGTAGCAATCAGATTTATAAATCGCAGTGATTGTTACATTACATTAAGGACGCCTTAAATATTGACTAATTCCAATTGTTTTGTTAGTGGAGTTAATCATAATACTTGGGACTTGAGAGGGGGTAGGATATACACTATTCTTAAGGGACAGAGAATTTCAAATAGGTGTTTAATCATAAAAGCATTCATAGAGAAGTACTGTAGTGCTATAAAGTATTAAGCCTTGGGCCATGCGTGGTGGTGCACGCCTTTAATCCCAGCACTCGGGAGTTCAAGGCCAGCCTGGTCTACATAGTTCCAGGACAGCTGGGGCTACAGGGAGACCCTGTCTTAAGCCTTAATGGGTACACTTACCTACATGCAGGCAATACACTCAAAAATAATAAATAAAATATTTTAAAAATATATTAAGCCTTAAGATGGTTTACCATTTCCACAGCACAATTATAGATGAGTTTCTCTGCAGTAACACTGTTGATTTCATCAATAAATCTCTGTTTATCAGAGAAGAATCGATTCAGTTTTTCTGTAAGTTTCTTGCACATGGTGATACAGAATTTATATCGTTCATTCAGATTTTTGACAACTGAAACAAAGTTGAAATTGGAATTAATTTTAATTTTCTTCCAGAAATAACATAGTAACGTATCTTTTCAATGCTGACAGAAGGAAAGAGACACTCTATGGTCACTGAACAAAAAGTTTAGAAATCAGGTTCTATGATCTTTCAGTACAAAAAGACAGACTAAAGTCCTTCTGATTTTTCTCTATAACAAGTAAACAATGAAAAACAAAATGTCATCATTTTTTTTATGCTAAGAACACTGAATTAACACAGTAATTCCTCATCAGAGACTGACTCTCTTGGTGGGACAGGAAGTCCTGACTCCCAATGCCCTTGGAGTCACACACTACCATATGCTTCTGTACCTTGTTTCACAGCCGTGGACGGGCTCAGCTTCCCAGACTTGATCTGAGCTTTGGCAAGATGCAGGGAAGCTGCCAGCAGCTGTGCTGCTTTCATGTATAACACCAGCTGCTCCACCCGCCTGCACCGGAAGATAGGAGCAGAGCATTACTTGAGAACCAACCCATGAGATTTGGTATGCTATGCATCAGGCCACCATCCAAACAGCCTTTCTAGGAGATAGCATCTGCATTATTTTTCCTGAGACAAGATTTTCCTATGTAACTCAGGCAGGCCTCAAATGCATAATCCTCCTGATTCAGGATCCCAAGTACTGGGTATTCAACACCCTGTCTGACTCCTTGACTTTTGAATACACCTCTAACTCCTGAAGGGAGAAGGCAAAGTATAAAGAAACATGTGTGAACTTTGGTTACAGTAGAAACACTGAGACAAAAATATAATACCTTTGGCCATCAAGTACCTTCAAAGGTATAATTTTCAGGGAAAGGCAGTGTTAAGGTTGCACAATAAACTAGGCTCATATAGCATCACCTTACACAATGAAACAGTGTAGATTTTCTTGAAGCGAAAAAAACTTTTTACTTTTTTAGGTATTTTTAGGTGTCTGTTTTTTGGGCACATGAATGTTTCATGTGCACATAATGCTTGCGAAGGCCAGATGAGGGCATCCGATGCCCTGGAACTGGAGTTATGGATGGCTGTAAGCCACCATGTGGTTGCTGGGAACCAAAATTAAGTCCTCTGGAAGAGCAGACAGTGCTCTTAACCGCCTTGCAACTTTTTATGAGATATGACTTCTGGTGGACAACAATCTACATTCAATCCACATTTCCAGAAAGCATGAAGAAGCTAGAGATAAATGGCAGAGGAAGCACCTACCCCCAGTCTTTGCTTAGCTGGCTGATCTGGTCCACAACTATGCTCTCCTGAATCTGATACAAGGACACAGCAGATGTGCACAGCTCAGGGTTCCCACCCCGCACCGCTGTCAGGTCCAGCACACACTCAGTAAACATTAGCATCACGTTCAGATGGCGTAAGGTATCTGTGTGTTCTCGCTGAAGCAAAAGCAATGTGTTTTATAACATTTTAGATTAAGGATTTCTATATACATTCTGCACATAAAGTTTTCCCATACTTAAGCCTGTCAGACTGATTAAAGAAAACTTAGCTTTTTTAAATTTCAGAGAGCTGTTATAAAATAAACACCAATCCGCCGGGTGTGGTGGCACACACCTTTAATCCCAGCACTCGGGAGGCAGAGGCAGGTGGATCTCTGTGAGTTCGAGGCCAGCCTGGTCTCCATAGTGAATCCAGGCCAGCTAGGGCTACAGGGAGATCCTGTCTCAAAAAGACCAAAAAATAAATAAATAAATAAACACCAATCAAAACAAATACAGTAAGTAGGTATGTTTGCATGTAGGTATCAGAACACCCATTTAAGTAAGCTCCAAACAGAGGAGGTCACTGTGCTTTTACTAGAAAAAAAAAACCAAAAAACAAAAAATAGGAAATTTGAGCACGTCCAAAACAAAAACATGACATAATAAACATAAGTTTATAAGGACAGGCAAGATGGCTCAGTGGGTGAGTAAAAGCACTTGCCAGGTGTGGTGACACATGCCTTTAATCCCAGCACAGGCAGAGGCAGGTGGATCTCTGTGAGTTCAAGACCAGCCTGGTCTACACAGTAAGTGCCAGGTCAGCTGGGGCTACAGGGAAACCTTGACTCAACAAAACAAAACAAAACAAAACAAAACACCAGATAGAATGGTGGGCACCTGAAATCTCAACACTCCTCTGGTGAGATAGGAGGTGAACACAGGAGAACCCGCCTGAAATACATGCACCAGCTAGCCTGGAGTACACGGTGCAGCAGAAACAAGGGAAATCCTGCCTCAAGAGAATCCAGAACCAACCCCCAAAAGTTGTCCTCTGACCTCCACAAGCCACATATGTGGTGGCTACATTCACACATCATACATACAATATTTTTTAAAAACTTAAAGATTACATGGATACTCTTACACTAAATAGAATGGTTTGTTTTTCTTGAGACAAGGTCTCACACTATGTATCCCAGGTGGGCCTCGAACTCCTTATCTTCCTACCTCAGTCTCCAAAGTAGCTGGGATTACAGTTGTTGCCACTGAGTAGAGCAATTAAATCACATTTCTTCAAAGTTCAATGAATGTTACTGCTTACTATAATGGTAGAGATTTTTAAATTTCTGGTGTTTAGTTAATAGTGATTCGCAATAAAGCTCTGATATATTATACATAGTTACAGATGAGAGTATAGAGAGCCATCCTAAAGGATGTCCTTTCAAAACAAGTATTCTAAAACTAATTTTCTTCTTTAGTTATAGTTATGAAATCTCAAGTAAGACTAAAAGTCTCTCTCACACTTGTGTGTGTGTGTGTGTGTGTACATGCCTGTGCTTATTTGTAGAGCCAGAAGATGATGTCAGGTATCCTCCACTATCACTTTGCCTATTCTGTTTTCTCAACTAGGCTAGAAATCAGCTCCTTTGGAGCTAGAGTTACAGGCATGCATGGAATGCCTGGCTTGTTATATGGGTACTGGCATCTGAACTTGGGTCCTCATCAATGTGTTGCCAAGTACTCTTAACCTTGGAGCCATCTCTCTAGCCCCCCATCTTGTTTTGAGGCAGGGTCCCTCATTGAACCTGAATCCATTTGCCTGACCTCCCCAACCCTGTCAAAACCATGGTTACAGGCATACCATGCCTGGTGTTTTACATGGGTTTGGGGGACCTGAATCAGGTTCCTGTGCTTGTATCGTAGGTACTTTACTGACTCCAAACACCTAAGTTTCTCTCCTTTTATGGTTAAAAGATGAGAATCATTTTCACAGAGACAGGAGAATAAAACACTGAATTTTTGACAGTCTCTCTGCTCTGTGACAAAATATATTAGACTCTATTCACCAATACATTGAGAGTTACCCTCATTTTGGGAGTGAGGATTGAGAGGCACAGCTCCAAAATCATTAAACAACCTCTGGTTCTAGATTACATATAATGTAGTTTTTCCTGTAGAACTGGATCCACAGAGATAAAATTCTGATATGTAAATGTGAGCATCCAGTCTGCTTACCAGGTATATTTCTGTATTAATGACTAGAGTGGGTATTGTGATTTACTGTTACTATTATTATTTTGTTCTTTTTTTTGTGATCTTTTTGAGACAGGGTCTCCCTGTAGCCCCAGCTGTCCTGGAACTCACTATGTGGACCAGGCTGGCCTTGAACTCACAGAGATCCGCCTGCCTCTGCCTCCTGAGTGCTGGGATGAAAGGCATGTGCCACCATGCCCGGCTATCTTGTTCTTTTTTAAAATTCATTTTAATTTTATGTGTATGAGTGTTATGCCTACATGTATGTAAGTGCATCACACCCATGTCATGTGATGACTGTGGATGAGAGAAGAGGGTGTCAGATCCCCCAGAACTGGAGGTACAGATGGTTCTTAGCCACCATATGGGTGCTAGGATCTGAACCTTGGTCTTTGGCAAGAGCAACTAGTGCTCTTAACCGCTGAGCCATCTCTCCAGCCCCCATCTTATTATTCTTATTGAGATAGGATCTTACAAGGTACCCTAGGCTGACCTCAAAGTTGTGATCCTGTGGCCTCAGCCTCCCAAGTACTAGAATTACAGGTATGTGACCACCATGTCTGGCATTATTTTTATTTACTTATTATTTATTTAGTTAGTTGTTTAGGTAGGTAGGTAGGTAGGTAGGTAGGTAGGTAGGTAGGTAGTTTATTTTTAAGACAGGGCCTTAGTATGTAGCCCTGACTGGCCTGGAATTTGCTATGTAGACCAGCCTGTCCTGGAACTCACAGAGATCTGCCTGCTTCTATCTCCTGAGTGCAGGAAGTAAAGATGAACACCACCATGCCTGGCTTGCATTATTTTAAGATCTAGGTTTAAATGCATTATTTTAGCTAGTAAGGGAAAGAAAATATTGAGAATATAAAAGTTATATTTTTAGGGGGGAAATTATAGCTTAAAAATCCTACAAATAATGTGAGGTGTGGTGGCACATGCCTTTAATTCCAGCACTTGGGAGGCAGAGGCAGTAAGATCTCTGTGAAATTGAGGCCAGCCTGGTCTACAGAGTGAGTTCCAGACCAGCTGAGACTATAGGGAGACTCTGTCTCAAAAAGATGAAAAAAAAAATCTGCAAATAAAGTTGGGCACAAATGGTGCACAACTATAATCCAGGTACTAGGGGAGCTAAAGAGGAAGGATTTTGAATTCAAAGCCAGTCTGGGCTACACAGGTGAGACTCTCTTTCAAATGGGGGGAAATAAATCCTACAAATAGTAAATAAACTTTAAATTTAAAAAGTTAACAAATGGAGCTGGGCGTGGTAGTGCACATCTTTAATTCAGGCACTCAGGAAGCAGAGGCAGGTGGGATCTCTGTGAGTTCAAGGCCAGCCTGGCCTACATAGTGAGTTGCAGGCCACCTGGGACTATAGACCCTGTCTCAAAAAGACAAAAATAAAAACAAAAAACCAAAACAAAAACAATGCTTATGTATCACTTCCTATGAAACAGAAGTTGCTAAGGAAGAGTGTCACAAAATAGTTATGCCACATATTTATGAAAATATGCAAGTGACTTTTCTCAAAATGAAAAAGTGAAATAGAACCTGTAACTTCAGAACTATTCAATGTAGTTAGTTCTCGCATCCTCACTAGAATATGCCTATCAGGTCACATTAATGAACACGGCACTGAAATCTCCTCCCTACCTCCATCAGTGTCTCCTCTGGTAGTTCAGGGGCTTCAAAAGTAATGAGCCCCTCCAGGCTGGGTGGTGAAGCACCATAAGGCACGTATCTCAGGCTGGGAGCGGCCTCTGCTCCTGGCGGGGAAGAGCCCAACCCTGGCCCAGGTGGGGAGCCCACACATACTCGGCCACTTGCAGAGCACAAGGAGCCCCCCGAGCTGCTAGACCCCACTGCAAAGGAACATAGCAGAAGTCCAAAGTTAGTCAGGAAGGCCTTCACACCCACTCCTCTTACTTACTGAACACAACCAAGGTAATAAAGAAGTTCAAAGAAAAATCCCTGGTCCCTATCCTACTTGAATATATGACTTTGCATCCTATCTATCGTCTATCTATCTATCTATCTATCTATCTATCTATCTATCTATCTATCTATCATCATCTATCTATCCATCATCTATCTATCTATCATCTATCTATTTATCTAATCATTGCCAGTTTTCCCACATTCTGTTTTAAACACATTTATATCATGTATAATTCTCTTTATTGTTCCACAGGATTCATAAGTATAAAACCTGAACTGAAGTATGGTAGTTCACTACCTTTACATATACAATGTGTATCTGGAGTCATTTATACCATTTCTGATTTTTTTTGTGAAACAAATTATCACTAAAATGAAATGCACAAATGTTTTTCTTCTTCAAGTACCAAAGTAGTACTTATAAATACAAATGGACTGGGGTTGGGGGATTTAGCTCAGTGGTAGAGCGCTTGCCTAGCAAGCGCAAAGCCCTGGGTTCAGGTCTCAGCTCCGGAAAAAAAAAAAAAGACAAAAAAAAAATACAAATGGAATTTCCATAGTGCAAATATAAGCATTTTTACAGTTCTTCCTAAGTCTTGACATGTAACTTTCTAAAGTAGCATTAGGTATAGACCCCCCCTAAACCTCATCAACTCTTGAGCCTTATACTTTAAATTTTATGTGTATGAGTGTTATGCCTGCATATAAGTAAGTGCACCCGTGTCGTGCACCGCCTGTGGAGGACAGAAGAGGCCATTGGATCCCCTGGAACTGGAGTTATGGACAGTTGTTAGCTGCCATGTGGGTGCTGGGATCCGAACCCGGGTCTTCAGCAAGAGCAGTCAGTGTTCTCAACCAGTGGTTGACTCTACTTTCTTAATATTTGGTATTAGTAACCAGAGTATGGATGATTTTAAAAAATTATAAGATTAAGTGTAAACACTGGGACCTAAAGTACATAAAATTTAAGCCAGGCCTGGTGGCATATACTATAATACTAGTTACTTGGGAAACAGAGGCAAGAGGATCTCAACTTTGAAGCCAGTCTGGACTATATAGGAGGTTCAAGGCCATCCTGGGAGACTTGGCAAGACCTTGTCTCAAAATAAAAGTAAAAAAGGGTTGAGGGAGCAGGAATGATGGCACATCTATATTCCTAACACTTGGAAGGTGGATGTAGGAGGATCCTTGGGTTCAGTCCCCAGCACCACAATAAATAAAATCCATTTCCAAAAACATATTTTCAAATACTTTATTAGATTTACTAAAAATAAGACTTTAATATATAAACTAAGAAATATTACACCTACATAACTATTTCTTCATGCACTATGACAAATATAGAGACAAATGTTTCTCACCTGAGGTGGTTCTTGTTCGAAGGACCATTTGGGTACAAGTAGGGGCCGTGGCACTGTGTGGAGGAGACCCCACAGTGAAGAGGACAGCCCTGGAACTTGTTGCTCCTGCTGGTAGTGCCAATACAACACCACAGGCTCCTGTGGGAGCTATAATAAAAAGTTTTCGAGGTATTGCATTATGTTCACAGTGTTCCTATATGGAAGTGTGATTATAAGGAGACACATTTTTATGTTTTTTAAATTAGAAAATTCAATATAATAATTCCATTAAGAATATTTTAGAGGACGCTAGCATTCAGGAAGCAGAGGTGGAAGGATCTCTTGTCAATTTGAGGGCTATATAGTAAGACCTTCTCTCAAAAAAAAAACAAAAACAAAAAAAAACCCAGCACTCAGGAAGCAGAGGCAGGTGGAGGCCAGCCTGGTTTATATAGCAAGTTCCAGGCCAGCTAGGGCTACAGGGACACCCTGTCTCAAAAAGACCACAAGAAAAAGAGACTATTTTAGTGAACCAATGAGATGGATCAGTCAGCATGTGAAGACACTTTTCACCAAGTTTTGACAATCTGAGTTTGATCCCTGGGACCCCATGGTAGAAGGACAGAGACCATACTCTGAAAGTTGTCTTCTGACCTCTACACACACTATAGCATGTGTGCCCTGCCACAACAAAAAGAGCCAGGCATGGTAGCACTTGCCTGTAATCTCAGCCCTCATTAGGCTGAGACAGGAGTACCATGAGTTCAAGGCCAGCTTCATCTACAAAGTAATTTCAAGGTCACACAGCCTTGGCTGCATAGCAAGTTCCAGGTTAGCCTCAACTACACAGTGAGACACTGCCTCAAAAAAAAAAAAAAAAAAAAAAAAAAGGGCTAGTGAGATGGCTCAGCAGGTAAAGGCATCTGACACTAGGCCTGCCAACCAGAGTTCCATCCCTGGGATTCACACAGTGGTAGGGAACTGACTCCCACAAGTTGTCCTCATCTCCACACACACAGTGGCCCACATACACACAGAAGAAATAAATTAAAAGGTAAATAAAAATGATAAAGTACTTGATTTTATGAGACAGGGCGTCACTATATACTGGCAGACCTGGCTGGCCTCACACTGACAGAGATCTGCCTACCTCTGCCTCCAGCGCTTGGCTTAAAGGTATGTGCCATCACACCTAGCTTTTATGAAGTATTTGTAGTAAAAATTCTAAATATAGTTTCACATCTGTGAATCTTCACATCAATGTCTAGTATTCAGAGCTCTGGATAGTTGTAGACTATATAAATTGCAACTCACACCTCTTGAGGACATTGAAAAAGTAGAAACCAAGAACTGGAAATTAAAATGTAAGGCTAAAAAACGGAAGACAGAAAGTTGACACAGAGTATGTTTATGCTCTCAAATTATATACTTATATCTGTCAGGATGGAGGTGAAGTAGAATAGATATTAAAGAGGCTGATGGTTTGACCTTGGATTAAATGAATAGGTGAAAAACTCCCCATTTACCACAAACATGCAGAATCAGCAGTTTAGTTCAATGCCTTTCCACTCTCACATTTTATAAGACCAAAGAATAGAGGTAGGTGATTATAATACAAGAAGAAACATTATAACTGAGGGAAAAGCTAAATAAACACTCTAGCTTTGCTTGCTTTCAGTTGGATGTAAATCACGAATTTTGAAAGACTGGGGATGGGGAGGCAGCTCAATGGTATAGTGTGTGTAAGGCTGTGGGTTCGATCCCCAACACTACAAAATGCAGACAAAAATGACTATTTTTGGAGGTGACAGCTGAGTAATATATTAATTAATCTCCCACTAGCTTTGGTACAGAGGACACCTCTCACTAAAGAAATCTTTGCCTATACAATGCCTTCAAGTGTTTGGTTTAGGGTCCTTGATTCATTTGACTACTTTTTTCATATTATGTTTAGCTTTCCAGCACCATTTACTAAGGAAACTATTCTTTCTCTGAAGTGTGTTCTTAGCACCATGATACACATTTATTGGAGAGACAAACTGTTGATTAGAATAACAAGGCATTTTAAGGGGATACTTGTAACACTGAAATAGCACAATAGCAACAAGAGGTAGCTATGAAATTACTGTAATAATTCTATATGTACTAGGTAATTTTATGCAGTTGTGCTGTATTACTGAAACTTTACATTTAATTATATTTCTCTTAACTGTAAATAACACCAAGGTGTGCTTTTTTTTTTTTTTTTTTTTTTTTTTTTTTTTTTTTTTGGGACAGGGTCTCCTTTTAGTCCCAGCTGTCCTGGAACCCCCTATTTAAACCAAACTGGCCCCCAACTCACAAAGATTTTCCTGCCTCTGCCTCCCAAGTGCTGGGATTAAAGGCATGTGCCACCACGCCTGGTGCTCAATGTATGCTTTTTAAAAAATGTATTACATTTATTTACTTAAGTGTATGTGTGGGCATATGGGTGTGGGTCAGAGGACAACTTGTGGGAGTCAGTTCTCTCCTTCCACCATGTGGGTCCAGGTGGGTCCAGGTGACTGAATTCAGGTCATCATCCTTGGTGGCAAATGCCTTTACTAATCAAGTCATCTTGCCTGTCCATGTATGCTTTTTGAGCGTTTAAGTTTTGATACATTTTAACTTTGATAACAGATGTGTGTAGTTTGTGGTAATATTAATTACAAAATATATGTATGCATGTTTTATGAATTTATGACATGATTTTCTTAGTTTTGATTTTTGGGGGGGGGGTCTTTTTGAGACAGCGGTCTCCCTGTAGCCCCAGCTGGCCTGGAACGGACTATGTAGATCAGGCTGGCCTCAAAGTCATAGAGATCCATCCGCCTGCCTCTGCCTCTGCTGGGATTAAAGGTGTGAGCAATCACATTCAGCTCACGTTTTATTTTTAGACTAACATGATGAGTGAATTTTTAAGTTGTTACAAATTTTGCCCCCAAATCTGCATATAAGTGGATCCACACAGTTCAAACTCATATTGTTCAATTAAGTATGTACAATTAAGTATGGCAATATATATATATATAACAGGAATATAACAATATAACAGGAACACAAGGAGGAAAGAACAGAAAATATATCTGTGCTGGATAGCTTTAGTGTCAACTTCACACACCTGGGTTGAGGGAGCCTCAATTGGAAAATTGCCTTCATTGGACTGGCCTGTGGCCATGTCCATGGGGCACCTTCTTGATTGTTGAGTGATGTGGGCCCAGCCCACTGTGGGTGATGCCACCCCTGGGCAGGTGGGCCCGTGTTGCATAAGAAAGCAGGCTGAGCAGGGGCCAGGGGAGCAAGTCAGTAAGCAGTGATACTCCTTGGCCTGTGCTTTAGCTCCTGACTGCAGGTTTCTGCCCTGAGTTCCTACCTTGGGCTCCCCGATGAACTGTGACTTGGGAGATGTAAGACAAATAAACCCTTTCCTCCCCAAGTTGGTAGTGGTCAGTGTTTTGTCACAGCAATGGAGAAATAACTAAGACAATATCCAAATGAATAATGGCTAAAAAAAAAAAGAAAAGAAAACCAAATTTCCTTTTAAAAAAAAAAAAATGAGCCTGGAGCCAGCAGCTTGCCTGAGTAAGTTCGGCTGCTGTGCCCACTGAGCCTTGACTCACATCTCTCCTTGTAGCAGGGAGACTGGCACATTTCCTCTCTTGGCACCCCAGACCTCTGGACTGACCTCTTAGCCCAAACTCTCCACTGCTTGCTGATCCTTTGCATCCAGACCAAACCATTTCCTCCCTTTAGTCCCCACCTCCCTTTGCATCTCTGGGCAGCCCAGCCCCACAGCTTCCTGGAGCCAGCAGCTTGCTTGGGTAAGTTTGGCTGTGCCCACTGCACCTTGACTCCCCCAGCTTCATTCACCCTCCCAGCTTCCCCACCCCATCTCTCCTCCTATCAGGGGCACTGGCCCATCTTTTGTTGTGATACCCCAGACCTATGGACTGACCTCTTAGCCCAGAATCCCCGCTGCTTCCTGATCCTTTGTGGCCGACCAACCCAATTCCTCCCTGTAGTCTCCAGGAGACCGTGGGCCTCTTTTCACCCCTACCTCCCCCTTTGCACCCCTGGGGATCAGCATCTTTCCTGGGCCCCGCTCCCAGGCCAGCCCAGCCCTCAAATTCCTGAGGCAAGCATCTTTCCTGGAGGGATCTAGATGTTAGGAGAAAGCCTGAGAGCATCTGTTCCTCATCCAACTTGGGCCTCTGTGGGAACTCTTGAGCAGCAAGACTAAAGCAACTTGGCAACTCCAATATAAAAATCAAAAGAAAGCCGGGCATGGCATGCCTTTAATCCCAGCACTCGGGAGGCAGAGGCAGGCTGATCTCTGTGAGTTGGAGACCAGCTTAATATCCATTAGGGAATCCAGGCCAGCTGTGGGTACAGGGAGACCTTGTCTCAAAAAGACCAAAAAAAAAAAAAAAAAAAAAAAAAAAAAAAATCAAGAGAGAACCTGAAGCTTAGACCAACCAGTTTTTCATGCCCAACAAGTAAATCACAAAGGAGCATAAACTTTACAAAAAGAAGTAGACCTAAACTCAACAAAGGAAGGCTTGAGTCTCACACAAGAACTAGAATCTACAAAAGTGGACGAATTAGACCACTCAAGCAAAGATTACGAAAAAAATTTTTTTTTTTTTTGTCTTTTTGAAGCAGGGTCTCCCTGTAACCCCAGCTGTCCTGGAACTCACTATGTAGACCAGGCTGGCCTTGAA